AKCTTGTTTCCTTTCTTTGGCACAGACTCCTTCTGTGAKATTGAACAAATCATTTTGATATTTAAACACTTTCAAAACCCTGTCCCTGAGGCAATTCACCATCCATAAAGTTTGGGGGCTATAGTATCAAATGTTTTGATTTGGGGAATAATATACGTGCTTAAATTGAAACACTCAGCAACTTTGRAAAATAATTACATAGAAAGAGCAGYATTCYTCTGAAAATACTATATTGTGGCATTTGGTCAACCCCCCAGGACTGGAGTGTTTAAAACTAGATAGATCAACATAGGAAACACAGCAAATYATCTCATTAAGGTCCTTAAATACCTGAAGGGGCCCTACAAGAAACCTTGGGAGGAACAGGGACATGTAACAATAGGCCAAGGAGGAATGGCTTTGAACTGAGAGTAGGTTTAGATTGGATATTGGGAAGAAATTCTGAACTGTGAGGGTGGGGAGGCCCTGGCACAGGCTGCCCAGAGAAGCTGTGGCTGCCCCATCCCTGGGAGTGTCCAAAGCCAGGCTGGATGGGGCTTTGGGATAGTGGAAGGTGTCCTTGCCATGGCAGAGGGTAGAACGAGGTGATCTTTAAGGCTCCTTCCAACCCAAACCCATCTGTGATTCTCTGCCCTTGATGAACAGAGGTATTGACTGGCCTTTTCCGTCTCTTAGCGCGGAATGAGCACCAACATTCTGTGGTTCGGAATGTTGCTGCTTTTAGACACAGTAATGTTTTCTTTTCATCATCCCTGGATTTTCTGGCCACACAAGAAACTGTTTGTGCGAGAATTTCAGCAGAAGGTGGCTCCACCAAGCACAAATAGGGATGCTGTCAGCAGCACCAGCATGTGCCTTTTCACACTGTCCTGCTGGCTGCTTGTGCTGGCTCTGAGGGATCTGCTCTGCCCATGAGAGCACTCTCTGGCTTTGATTTTCCTGCACCCCTGTTCCTGCAGAGGGGGGAGGCTGCCAAGCAGTGGAGGAGAGGTTTTGTTGTGAGATTGGTGCCATAAATTCATTGCAAATGGGTGCTGCAGGTCTTGGCTTGGGAACTGGTATAAATTATTGCTGTTGCTGATTCAGACAGATGAGCAGTGGGAGCTGGGGTTGCTTTTAAAGCACACACAGAGGGATTATGTAAAGACTTCAAAGTGTGTAATGGCAGAGGAATGAACCTGCTGATCCTAAAGTTCCCTTGCAGATTTATAACCTAGAACCAACTTCTGCAGGTGCCCTCAAGGACTGTCATGGCGATGGTGACACTTTTATCTCAAGATCAGGTCCTGGAATCCATGTAGGGGTGTCTGAGTTGGGCCCCAGGGTGGGTGGCTGAGCAGGGCTTGACATCTGAAAAGTTACGTCTCTGCCTGTGCTTCTCAGGTGGGCAGCCTAAGTTGCTGTAGAAATTGATCATTTGAATAAATRCCACATCTCAATGCTGACTGCTACCCCCTGAGAGTCCCCAGTGGTCACCAGACCAACTCATGTCCTCTCATCCAGATGACCCSAGCTCATTTCTCATGTGCATTTTTAGGTGCAGGGCTCCTGACTATRAGACTTGTTCACACTTTGAAGCTCTTTCTTCCCCCCTTGTCCACATCCATCACTCGTTCTGCTGACTGAGTTGCTTTAACTTCTCTGCTCGACTGAATGGAGCAGGACAAGTGCCAACCCTTCCCCTGCCAGGATTTCTGTGCTTAATACTGAGATAAGACTGAAATCCTAGGTACTTTTTTTCTGGTGGTTTTAATAATAAATAACTTTCCTTGGCACTGTGCTTCAGCTCATGCCATGCTTTGTGTCAGATGCACTCCTCTCTGGAGAATTTAGGGAGGGCATTTCAAAGGAACCAGATGTTTAATCTTTCTTGTGAAGTTGGCTGCCACACAGGAGCTAACTGGAAATTGTGAGGTATTTTACACTTGAGAGAGGTTTTCCATTTCACAGTCTTTCTAAATCAAAAGAAAGCTGTGTATCGGCTGAGCATCGTATAAACTGGGAAAAGAGCAGACTTGCTGCGTGCCATCTCTCTGTTTACTCTTTGCAAAGATGGGCCTTTCCTGGCAAAATGTCCTCAAGATGTTTATGGAGTCCACAGAGAAAAATGATCCCTTGAAATGGAAAAGTCCAAGGTTTTGTGCTGTAGACATCCTGTGCTGCACTAAGTTGCTTCCAGAGTTTCAAAGGGATCTGGTTGCTGAAGGGAAGAAAAGCTGGGATTTTTGAAATTACCAAAGTGTGTGCCAATCMCAGATGTTGGGCACATGCCTGCTTTTGGGAACCTCTCCTCACAGMCACCTCTGTTCTAAGGCACCAGATGACTTTGTCATAGTGTTCTTCCTTCCTCAGCCATCCCAAAGATGTGATAGCACAGCCCTACTCCATAAGGTGCTGTGACAATAAATACTCTCTATCAATGCTTCTCCTTGAGTATTTCTCCATATCTGCTCTTCCTTGGGATGCTGTTGACCAGTTGCTGACTGATTTAGCAGTGTTTTGCTTTACCTGACTCCTCYCCATGTCCTGTAGGTAGCATTCAAGTGGTGGTGATGCCTAAGATTTTTAGCTTTTTATATTTTTCATATATTTGTTGTAGCTTTGTAGAAAGATGTCAAGGTGGAAAAGCTCAATATTGCTCAATTCCCTGGGTGTGCTTAGGAAAAGATGGTGTTTCTTTCCCCTACGTGACTCAAATGTTTAAGTGTCTGTAGTGTCACGTTTTCTAAGAAAGACGCAGGTCCACCCAGCCAGTCTTGTGCTCTGGAGACAGTCATGGATTCTGGGAGRTAAATAAGATGTTTGTGAGGAAGAATAAGTCTGAAACATGAAAGAATATTGCTTCAATTTCTTCACTGGATGCCTGTTGACAGGTTACTATGATGCAGTGTGAGTGGAAAGTGTGTGAGGGAAAATAATCCTGTGTCTTTTAAATGCCTATCAGTCTGAGATACAGCAATAGGACTTTATTTTTGGGGGGTGCTGAGCCCTGTGCTCTTTGGGCCCCCTTTGGGTGCCTCAGATTAGATCTGCAGTTCTCCCTGACTGTGGTTTGCAGGATAATCTCTGTCCTACCCACCTCCTCCCCAGACTTTCTGATATTTCCCTGGCACAGGTACCCCCCTCATTCCTGTCTGGTTCCTACCAGGGGATGTGTTTTTTTTCTGCCTTCCAACAGTTGCCAATTCAGGTTTCATGAGGAACTGCTGTGCCAGCTCTTTGATATTCAGAAGCTGTGGGGTTTTCTGTCTGTTTCCTGACCTAGCATGACTCTACTAATAATGCAAGAACTTCAGTGCTGATGTCCTGGCCGCCTAATACCGGAGGTCAGTCTGTAAATCCAGTTACAATTTTCTTTGCCTCAGCAAAGACAGTAAGTTGAACATAATGTAAACAAGGTGGTTGGATCAYTGCACCCACCAGTAATGCGGTGGGAGATGCAGGCAAATTTAATGGATGCGATTAAATCTCCTGTTCCAGTCTGGCAGCTGATTAGCTGCAGGGGGCAGGCAGGAATTTCCTTTCTGATCCAGAGTTGCCCTCTTTCCAAGTCCTCCTTCAAGCTTSTGCCAAGCATCTCAAAGTGCTTTGCATCTTAAATTGCGCTTCTTCACGCCCCTGTGAGGGGTGGAGATGAGAGATAGCACAATCCCAAATGGAGCCCTGGGGAAACTGAGGCACTGGGAGGTGGCAGCCTGCCTGGAATGAGAGAAGAAGGTGATGTTAGACTTGGAGAAAGGGGAAAGGGGCATCCCAGAAATCTTCTCTTGAAGCTGAACTTGTGCCTAGTGCTCAACAGTGCTTTAGCACCCTAAAGTCTTGGTTGTCTGCTATGCACTAGTATATAGTCACTGACAGGGAAAATAAATCTTTCTGCTCTGGAAGTTTTAATTTATTTTTGTCTTTTATCACTTTATTCCTCTAATTTCTGAGGAGAATGACTTGTGTATATATTTCTTCTCTTTGCATGGAGAAACACTTTACGCTGAAATAGCCTCAGGTGGTGGCTGTGGATGAGGCAGAGAACTGGTTCAGCTCCATGGATGACTCCATTCTTTGTCTCTGTGAGGGAAATTAGTGAATTTACTGTGTGGGTTCACCTTCAGTGGGTGCACACTGATGTACCTACACCAGATTTGATTTCTTTACCTGGTTGTAGAGCTGAAGAAMTGGCCTTGTAACATCAAGGAGGAGAAAACACTCCTGTTACTAGGRCATGGTTTGGTCTAAAGAAGAGACTATAGACATCCAAAGAAACTGTCACGTAGTAACCCATCATTTCACCTGCATATTGCTCATGCTGTGGCTGACAAAGTACAGAGAGCAGTAGGGATTAGCTGAGTCTTCACCCTCCTCAGGATGCTGGGAATAGAGAATGGGCCTTTCCCATCTTACTTCAGCCCAAACAGTGTAATTTGGATCTCATAGGGTGGGGAGGGTTTCTTACAACAGAGATTTTGTATTTTTGTGGTGGGTGATTTAAGCTTCTAAAGTCTGGTTTTGTGAATCTGGAGTGGACAGAAACTTCTGATGTTCAGTCTTGAGCCAGCAGCTTGATGACTGGAGAGAGATAGGATTTCAGCTGTGGCCCTCATTGCTGTAGGGCATCCTGTCCATCCTGCTGTCATGATAGGAACAGAGAGGTCTGACTGAAGTGTTCTGAAGCCTAGAGCTGAGGCCAAAGCCTGGCTCACTAGGCTCTATTTCAATTTCTAAAATGACTATGTAAATAGAATGTCTGAATCTGATCCTTAGCCTAGTCTCAAGACTTAATTGTAAATAAACACTATCTTAAATCACTTTATAGTTTCCAGCATTCTCTGTTTGAATGTCTCTGTGCTGGCGTTTGGAGAACATTCATCATAAAATGAGTGTCTGTTTGGGCTGCACATGGTGTAATTATCAGCTGAGCCCATAGCATGATGTGACAATTCTYGTTCTGACCAGCTGAAACAACTCACTCTAACAACTGTGCTCTCTCTTCTTGTTCTCTCTTTCAGTTCCCAAGAAGCTTCTGCATGAAACTCAGCCAAGACCAACCAGTTTCCAAGGATATCAGAAGCCACATTTCCCGCTGCAGCCCAGAGTGTTYGATCCCAATGTTATAGGGGACGGCGTTTTCCTTTCGGATGTCTCTCCTTCCAACATAGAGCGAGTTCTCCCAGGTAGCTGTGACCGTTGTGGTGTTGGCCCAAACCTGATGGTGTTGTGGTAACTGGTCCTTTCCATCTCCCCTTTTTTTGGAGTTCTAGTTTGCTCCTAAATCCCACCCATGTCACAGTCTCACAGTCAGAAAGGACTGTGACAGCTCCAGGCATGACCAGTGATGGGCTAAAGTGAGCTGTGAAACTGTTCAAGAAACACTGGGTTTCTTGAAATAGCAGCCGTGGCCATGCATGTCCAAACTCATCACAGAAATACTTTTCAGACCTGTCTGATACAGTGGCAAAGAAAAAACCCCAGGGTAGAGACAGTAGATCTGCCTCAGAAGGGACAGAGAAGTTTTCAACTGAGTTTTGAAATCTGATGCTATTTTCATAAAATGCAAAGTGAAGAGATATGAATGAAGTCAGATCTTAGCCATCTCTAGGGAGAGGTGAGTAGGAGGCAGGGGTGGTGTGTGAATAAGGGAAAAGCACAGGTGAGCACGTGTTGGGTTCCTTGGTGGTTTTGTGTTGTTTCCCAACGTGTAGGAGATTGTTTATGACACTACTGAAATTCCCAGTCTGTGCTCCCAGAGATTCAGCTYGAGGGTGGGTGTGGGCAGAGCTTGTCTCCTGGCAAAGTTAATCCACAGCTTGGATAGACAATTTACAAATAAATAAAATCTGGCAAGAACAGATTTGTCAGTTTGGAGGCCTTACTGAAAAACTGTCAAGGAAAAGATTTTTGAGTTAGCCCCAAATAAATATTGTGATCCTGGAGATTATTTTAAGCAAGAAAAAATATCCTGAACTCATTTCCACTCATCTAACATTTCACTTCTACAAATKACACCTTTTGTTTAGTTTTCACATAGTTTATTCATTCACTTTCAAAATATGCATCACTTTTCAAAGAAAGATGTCATTTTGAAATTAAAAGCTAGAAGAATGTTTCAAATATAACAGAAGAAAATACTTGGACATTTCTGTAATCTCCCCTCCTGTTTTATTTCTTKTATTAAAACTATTTGCTAGCGTCAGCCTGGTGTCATGAATCACCTCTCCTGTGCTTATACTATGGTGTTGGGCAAATTTACTGCTGGCWGAAAGAATTTTGTTCGGCTTTGGTGTTAACTCAGAGAGAAACCTTTTGAGTGGGAACAGCTAAGAAAGGGTGGTGAGGAGAAAACCAGGAACAGTGAGCTGATTAGGCATTGACAAGTCTTCAAAGCTAGCAAGGAGGAAAGAGAATATCTTTAACTATGATCCCGAAATGAATGACAGACCAAGGAACCACACAGTGTGGCAACACTTGTGAAATTGTGTTTGTTTTTTCCCTCCTGCATAAWTCCAGTCATCTTCTGTCTTCCGTGTCTGTGCTTGTACAGTCCTGCCAATGATAAAACCAGTACTGTGGTTTTGTGGTGCTCTTTGCTGGAGTTTAGTATGTGCAGATTAGCAGTCATTTAAAAACATGTTTGATTGCATCTGTTCTACGGACAAGTTAGACGTGGAAAAAAAAAAAAAGGATTCTTCTAACCTCTCACATCTCAAGAGAAGTCATCCTTTGCTCTGCCTCCTAAAGACACTGTTGTTGCACAGTGGGTTATAAGGGGGCTCCATACCCAGCAGAGGTGTCCATCTGACATATGAAATATGGATGAGATTTTATCCTGGTGGTGCCCTTCATTTTTCTCTCTTAGGAAGGGATTTTACATTAACTAGTTCAGAGCCAGACCTTAATCAGGAGATGTTTTGGGCAGAATTCAGTTTCCCCCATATAAATGTGGCATTTGTGATGGCCACCTGTCYTCTGGAAGGGTGAGAGTTGCCCCTGCATCCCTTCTCATACTGACCATCCCTGCATGGGTGTTGTCCTAACCCTGGGGTGTCTTAGATATCTGTGAATGAACAAATTCATCAAGCTCTAAGTGTCTACTGTAGGCAGAGCTGGATGGCTCTCTGCTACCCATCAACTGATAGCAGGACTCTTTTGCCTTAGTTTAGATGCATGGTGCTGCTTGAGATGCTCTGAAATATCCAAATTTTAGGTTCAGYTTTTAGGAATGAAATACTTACCCCACTTCTGTGGATTTCTTTGGAAAAGTGGTAGGGAAAAGTTCAAACACTTGTACAGGCAGATTTACCAGGTGGGGAGAATAAAGGAGAGATTAGAGGGCATGTTAATCTGAATTGAAAAAAAATCTGAATTAAAAAAAAAAATTCCAAAAGTTGCTATTGATTTCSTGTTGAATGTGCCCTGGGACGTTCTGTGTCCCATTTGCACAAGGGATCTGCAGCAATCTCTATTCTCCTAAAGCGAGAGGCTCTTGGGATATTTTACCCTTTGGGATATGACACCCAAGCACTCCTGTTTGAACACTTTGCTTGAAGGCCAGTCATTAACACCGTCAGCATGTGGCTTTCCCAAGGCCCTGCAGATATTCAGTGGCAGAGACAGCTGTGCCCACATTCCTTGGGGCGGATCCCTCGCAGTGACACCTGGACATCCATCCCYGCTGGTCCTCCTCGAGGCAGGTTAGGAGCTGGCATCACTGTGTGCACATTCCTGCCCTCAGTCCCTCTCCATCCAGTATTACCTGTTCTCTCTGACACCCTCACGTCCTGTTACTGCTTCCCCAGGCTGAGCTGCTGCTTCCTGGCATGCACAGCGGGAAGCTGGATGTGATGTCTCACACTGCTGGGTTTGCAGGGAAAGGAGATGGATCAGGCAGCCAAGGAGCAAAGCCCATCTCACATCACAGCTCCTGACAGAATGCCTTTGCTTGCATGGCACTGATGGCGTCCCTGGAGAGGGAGCTGGCAGTGTCCTGAATTTAATACCCGCAGAGGAGTGGAAGCCAGGTGCACGTCTGTGATTTTACAGAGCCATGCTTGCTTTTGGCCAGAACTAGACACCAGGGAAGGAGCCTGAAAATCTGTAATAACTACAGTTAAAAACTCATGTGGATGATGGAGCTGGACCCCGTGCACTGACTTTTTCCTGTGATGAAAACAATTACCGTTCTGTGAGGGGTGGGGGTGTCTGCCTGCAGATGAAGGTGTGGGGAGCCTCAGCAATGAGCTGATAAGGTCTGAAAGGGTCTCTTTGAGCCTCYCGGAATGAACTGCCTCCTCAGCTCCAGTCTTCAACAAATAAAATCAAATCATTAACCCATGTTCACTCACCTCTCCAGAGGGGAAATGGTGTCTGGGYGAAACACAATACGAGCAGGCTTCTGAAGGAAGTCATAAACTCAGGTCTGCCCTTCCCCACGAAGGCAGGAGAGAAAGCGCGTCTGTTTGCCAGGTGGGGATGGATCACTGCAGCACYGCTCCAGCAGAGGGTTGCAGGCTCTGCCTGTGTTTCCCAGTCTTCCTTGCAAGCCCAGCTGAACCCACTGTTGATAAAGGCTSCTTTGATTTACATAAGAGAAAAGAAACCTGATTATATATTTGCTGTAGCATGGGTGGGTGTGTCTAAGTGGTGACATGAAAGAGYAGGAGATGGGGGAGAGATGATGATGCCTGGATGCAGACAGGGCATGTGTTGAGCTGAAGCTGCTTGAGAAGGTTTAGTTACCCCCCAAAAGAGGCAAATTTGGGTGGTTTCCTGTCGAGCAGCTCAAGATTTCTGAACACAGATGCTGACCTGGCGGGGATAGGGCAGGTTAGGGCTGGGTCACATTCTACATTCCTCATTCCTCATTCCCTTTCTGTGTCAAAGCAGAGAAGAAGAAAGGGAGGTCAGCCACTTTCTACCCTGTGGACAACCCCCCCCTCCTGCTCCCCGTGGATGAGACACAACCGCCGGCGCTCAGCAGCGGCAGCAGCATGGAGCCCGTGGGTGTCAGCACGGAGATGGCCCTGCTCAGCAACATCCTGGCAGCCTATGCCTTCATCACAGGTAGGTCCTGGCTCACATCTGCCTGAGCTCCTGCACCATCCTTGTAGACCCTCCTTTCACACTCACCTGGGGCTGAATCTGCCTTTTTGAACTGTTTGTGTGTTTCATTCCTCTCTCAGTGGATTSTCCCTTGGAAGGCCTGACCGGAGTAGCTTTAGCAGACAGTGTGTAACAGTTTATTGTGCTCTGCTTGAGTTAAATACAATGTAATCTTACGTGTGGGGTTAYTCCTAATGCTTCATTTTCCTGGAGATCAAAGCCTGGCTCATTAGGGAGGCAAGTTTGTTGTCTTGTAATCTGGAAAATAAGCAGCACTCAAATCTTTGCACTGCTTTAGAGAATTTGGCTTGTCTTCAGTAGAAGTGTGAAGATGAAGTAACCTGAGTGTCTACYTAATTGTATATTTAAATCTAGTTTAGAGTAAGATTTCCTTGGATCACAGTTTATCTTTCACCCACGTGTATCTTTCAAGTAGCAGGGGAGCAGTGTTCTAAAATAATTCACTTTAAAAGGTGAAAGAAAAGTGACAGAACCAGGGGGAATGCCTTTAGACTGAAAGAGAGTGGATTTAGATTAGACATTAAGTAGGAATTCTTTACTGTTAGGATGGTGAGACACTGGCACTGATGTCCCAGAGAGGTTGTGGCTTCCCCATCCCTGGAAGTGTTCAAGGCCATGTTAACTAAAACTTCAATATTTGTGAGCTAYGTGTTCATGTCTGTGTGCTAGTTCAGTCTTGCTGATCCATTAAACAGGGATTCTTGGTCCCTGCTCTTGCTCTTGCTGAGATGCTGCCATGCTGACAATCCAGCTGTTTGATTTGAAGCAGCAAACTTGGGCTTTGCACTTTGGAATTACTGAGTAGATTAGTGAGAGTGTTTCTGCGTATTATTTAGAGAAAGTTCTTCTAAAAGGACCATGATTGGTTGTACAAATTTCTTCTCTTCTACACATCCATCAGGATCCATCTTTTCATGACACCCTTAAGAGTCAGGCACATTTAATGGAATTAGTAGTATTCTTCACAGAAGATAGTTGAGTAGGATAGATTTGGGTTTTTTGCATGGGTTTCTCCTAGGAAAAGTCAGAAAAACAAGCTTTAAAGGAGTCTTCTGTCTATCCCACTTCTCTCCCCACTTACCTGCAGCTGACATTTTTTTACATGAAAATACTTACCTTTCCATGGCTACTATAAAACAAAATTCTGTTTTCTGAACAGTAATGGACAGAGAAAATTGTAGGATTAATGGTCCAGGATGGTTTGGTTTGTAATTCAGAGCTGCTGAAAATGCCCCATGGACTTTGCTTCCATTGACACAGCGGAGCTCTTTGACTCTCTGTTGATTTTAGGGGACAAAGTTTTGATTCATCCTTGTCACAGGGTGCCTTGGCAGGAGCCTCCAGGTTTTACAGTAGCACAAACAACTTCCCCTGTCCTGTTGCTGTGGGATCTGCCTGCCCTCTCTTGMTGTGTTCTCCCTGTGCTGTGCTCACACCCACTGGATGACAAATAGGTAAACTCAGACCTCATGACTTTGGTTTCCAGTGCTGAGTTCAGGACTTGSTTGCTTATGTTTTCCAGKGTATCATGARATGTTTTGGGTTGGAAGGAACCTTAAAGATCATCTGTTCCTCACCATGGCTGCTGGATGGGTTTTAGTCTCAGTGACATGTATGCTCAGTTTGTTATTAATTATAAAAATAATTGACAASTGACCCATGGATTGAAACAGCAGATGTCCTAAACCATCTTTATCTGCTGCATGTAATTTAGCCTTTGCTTTTAGTGGAAATGATGGATTTGTCATGATTTATTTCGTTGTGTGTGAGTATGGAGGGGTTTTTGCTTATGACTTCAAAGACAAACTGTGTCACAGGGCACAAATAACATTTGCATAAAACTAGAGCACTGCAAAGCCATTCATCTTCATATTGCAGATTTTGAACAGCAGAGAAGTTGGATTCTTTTGTGCCTGCCTGAGTTTGGGGCCCTGAAGGCAGCTCAGGCTGCAGCTGACRTCCACAGAGGATCCATTCTAGTGGCTCAGGACAGGCAGGGTGTTGAGCAGCCAGGGAGGGCTGGCTCTGGGTYACACATCTTCCCTCTGCTCCTGACCACAGCCCTGGTGCCAAAGAGAAACAGCAGCGCAAGAGCTGCTCTGTTCTATGGTGCTGAAAACGTCCCTCAGGTGCTCTCTGCAGACTGAAAGTGCTGCATTCAGGGCTTCCCTGKGTGGGCGAGTTGTCTCAAAACAGGAGTTTGCAAAAGAAAATTGTAAACAGGCAACACATAAAAATGTTTTTTCTCCTGGGRCAGAGGGTGGTGGATATCCTCAGACCACTCCAGAAAAATGAAGCTATGGGTTTTTGCTATTTCATGGGTGAAGTGCAGGCTTGAAAGGATGATCCTCTCTGCTGCCTTTCCTCTCTTCTGGCAGTGGGGAGTTCTTTAGCCTGGGGGGAGCATCCACAAATAGTGGTACCCCTGCTGTGCTCAGTGGTGCTCACATTTTCTGCACAGAATGGCAGTTTTGGGTGGGCAGCTGCAGGTCAAGAGTCTGCAGACTCAGCCACTCACACATTCAGTCTTGCCGTGCACAGAGAAGTTCCGGTATTTACAAAAGCTTCTGTGCTCATTTCCACCATCTTTTTGACTGATATTCCCATATAGGAGTTGGGAATCTTCCTATGGACAGCTGAGTAGTAAAAATCACAGCACAGCAGGAGGAAAAACGGTCTTGGTTTGCAGCTATCATGGTTAGGTATCAAAGCCAGTTAGGTGTCAGTCTCTTCACAGCTTCCAGAACCTATTTCTTCAGAAACTGGGAGAAAGTGTGAATAATGTCAATGAGGAGTGAAATTAGTAGCTGATCAAACAGGTAGATATTATTTAGAGTTCAGTCTTGCGAAAGACTCAGACACACCCTTTATTTGAAAGCTGAGTTTCTTTACAGAATTAGGTTTTTAATTWGATGCAATCTCTGCTTATAAATCTCAGACCTGCTGTTTGCTGTGGACCTGTTCCAAAACCTGCCTGAGTGTTTGTAAAGACTTCACCAGTCTCAGTGACAGCTGGAACTGTCTTTGCAGTCACAGTCTATCAGCAAGACCAGAAACATCCCTCGTGGTTCTATAAATATTAAACATTCAAAATGTATCAGAGCTCTTCCAGTGCCTCCTTTTGGACAGGAGACTTATCTCAGTTTTGTCACTGCATTCAGGATGAAGCAGTTGGARGGAAACCTCCACAAATCCCTGTTTTATTCTTCTTCCATAAGCAAATCTTTGCTGCCAAGTTATTAACAAGGRGCTTCCAAAATGCAGCCCAGGGGAGATCATTCCAAATTTTAGACTGCTTGGCCTGAGCCTTATTAATAAGGGGCTCCTGGAGAGCTTCCTCTGTTGTGTCAGGGGATTTGGGCAGCCTGTGGGGCTGACTGTAAATTCCCCAGAAGATATTGCTCCTACTGTTTGTCTGGCCATGCTTAATGCTGAACTTTTTACTGGGGGCCCTCTGAAATTTTCCTCCCCACTGAGGTTTCGGAATGCATGAAGCCWTTACAGGAAGCCAGCAGCGTTAATGCCTAGATTGTTTTTTATTTATTGAAACAATTTATTATAATAGCAATAACAACCTTGGCCTGGGGCATTTCCTGGGGAATTAATGGCAGTCTGGGCTGATGCTCCCAGCAGATTGTTAGTCCTCAGGAAACAAGCTCCGTAATTGCTGCTGGTTTGGTTGGAAAAATAAAATAAAATGTGTTTCTAATTTTTTTTGGTCAGTTTGAGTACCTAGAAAATGGTGGCTTTTGTATAGAGCCTATATCTTTTGTGTGCATGGATTAAATTCAGGCTTGAACCAGTGACATTTTCACCAATGTTTTCAATCCAGAGAGAGAAATACAAAGAAGGGGAAAGGTAACCCCAGCCAAAGAGATTGACAGGAGCTGGATCCTGCTGGAAGCTCTGATCTGTCATCCACACCGGTGGAAGAAAAAGCTTCAGTGATCTAAATCTGTGTTTTAATGAGTGGATACACACAAACATACACAAGAATGCAGTTGTGCTAACTCCTGCTACTGATGTCCATGTACTTTTAAAGAACATTTTTTCCGAGCATAATGAGTGTTTTGAGGAGCTTCACTGTTGGTGTGACAAATCTTGGCCACCTTTGAGCTTTTGGAAGGTGGTGAGTATCCTTTTGCTGAAGACGGTGCCTCTTCTTGGTCTTTACAAGTAGAACATGCAGTGGTCTCAAAATCACTGATCAACCATCCTAGGCTAGTGCTAACTTGGCTACTTCAAGTGAGAAAAAGCAGAGCCCGTGGTTTTTAGCTTAAGTTGCTCTTTCTCCTGTGAAAAAAGAGCTGCTGCTGTGCAAGTGGATTGTGTGTGTGATAAATGCCAAGAGTGCAGCTGAACACAGGGTTACAGCTCCGTGAGGAAGTCCAGACAGTGTCTCAGATGTTGACAGAGTGGCTGTAGGAGCTCATAAATGCCACTGGAGCCCAAAGATTCAATTACAGCCCTTGCACTGCATGAGGGGCTGTACAGATGAGCACAAGCAGGGGAAGAAAAATGGTTGCTYAAGTAGCTTTAGTAGGTGAAATTGCTTCTGAGCTGGATACAGTAGCATGGAAAAAGGAGTATGGAGGAGAAGGGAAAAGCAGGACACAGGCAAAATCGGGGGCAGAGAAACCGTGTCTGTGTCTCAGGCTCCAGTCTATGGTTTTTTTATGAGTTGCTCTGAAGGAGCGAGCAGTGGAACTAATGCAGCCAAATGAAGCCCATGTGTGTGCAGAGTGTGGTGCTCAGGGAGGTGTGCCTGGCACCCTGTCAGCCAGGCAGAGCCAGGGCAGGCTGCACCCAGCATCTCCCCGGACAAACACCCCAGTCCTGCTCCTCTGCTCACACTTCATTTGTCCCCAGAGTCCTTCTTAGGGCTACCTGCAAACGGAGCTGGGTGATTACTGTCCTCAGTTAAATTGCATGTGGAGGTAGAAGTGTTACCAGGTTGTGATTCTGCTTTTCCTGTTTATTTTTTTAAGCCACTTTTTTGCAGTTCACATAGGTCTGGATGGACAGGAGCAGCTTTGYTACTGCACAGAGGAGGCTGCAGTTTTGAGTCCTGACCCTTGAATTCAGAGTAGCCATTGCCTTCACTGGAGACAGGATCTCACTCAGCCAAGCTGTTGCAAGAGTTATTGGCACATTCTTGTCTGCTCTGGCACCTCCTCTTTTACCTTGGGAATTGTGATGTCTCAATTTTCGCAAAATATCTTAGCTGAAGCCTGTGGCTTTGGTCTCACTTTGCAGCTACTGTTGCATGTCATAGGATGGTTTGGCTTGGAAGGAACTTTAGAGAGCATTTGATTCCAGCCTCCCTCTTATGGGCCTGCTCACACATCAGTGTCCTGCTTGTTCTCTGCATTACACAGAGTTTGCAGGAGGCTGGTCCACCTATTTCTCTCTCTTTTTTTTTTTTTCTCTAACTTATCTGCTGCACTTTCCTCATCTTTCTTTTCTCCTCCCTTCAGCCTGATTTTTTCCCAATGCCATCCACACCAACCACTCTAGCATCAGTCCAATGATTTATTAGCCAATTTTCAGACTATCTTGACATCTTCTTCCACCTTGGCTCATCAGTCACCTTTGAGGTTCATTTGGGAGAGAARTGAAGAGCAAAAAGGCATTTTTTCCATCAGCACCTCCAGGCACTGAACTGCACACTGCCTAGAACAGCACAAGCCACTGTTTGGGCTCAGGCCACAGAYTCAGAGAATAATTTAGGTTGGGAGAGGCCTCTGGGGGTCACCAGGTCCAAACCCCTGCTCAAAACATGGCTAACTTCAAATTTAGAGCCAGCTTTGAAATTAGAGCAGGGTCTTGCCCTGTTGAGTTTTGAATATCTCCAAATAGTTTCCAGTTCACCTTTTACAAACTTTGCTTAAGGAGATCAGCTGGAAAGGGCRCTTCTAAAAGCACTGTGCAGGGAAGTGAAGCCTTTTAGCTACAGAGATCTTTTGGGGCCAAATGTCAGGGTCTCAGCTGGTGGAAGATGTTACAGGTCCATCTCAAGGGAAGAAGACTCTTCTGAGGAACTGACTCCATCCTTGCACTCAGGGCAGACACTGCAGAGCAGAGCTGGCCTTGACACTTCTGYTCAGTTCACCTTTCCCCTTTTAGAGTACCTGTGAACCAAGATGATTCAGCCCAGGGGAATGGCAGTAACAACATTTATCATAATTACACTTGTAAGTAGTCTCATGAACCAAAAAAAAAGAAAAAAAAAAGAAAAATAAAGAAAAGGAAAAGGTGATACATAAACAAGATGACCTAATTTGAAAGGCATTGTGGATCCTTTGGAATCTTGTTATATCACCTCAGAAATGTTGCTATGCAGGACTCATCCTGTGGGTGCACTGACTCCTGCTCTGCCTGTGGAGCACAGGTACACATTTTGGTGGTCTGGGCAGGAAGCCAGCACACTTGGCTTAGATAAGCAAATGAAGTCTATGAATAAATAATATGCATTTTTGCCATGCTGCCAAGCCTCCCATTTCATCTGGGCCACAGCACAGAGCATMTAAAGTTTTGTAATCATCTTTATACCTGTTATGAGGGCAGTGGATGGGACAGTGAGATGCTCTGAGCTGCAGCTGGGTGTGCAGCCCGCCAGTGTCAATCCTGTGGGAATTGATTTAATTCTATGGGCTGCTCCCTTCCCTTCCARCACTCCAAGACACAACTGCAGCAAACCCTCATTCTGCATGTGGGCAAACGCTTTGGCAGCAAATTCACCGTTTAAATTCTTGATTGTCCTGGGGGGAGGAGACAAAGGAGGGCACGGAAATAAAAGCAGCCATTGAAAACTCGGCCCCTCTGGAAATTCTGTATTGTTTGCATGGATGGGCCCTGTGTGTGCTGCTCTGTGAAGGATGGCTCTCCTCCAACATTTCCTTTCTCYTTGCAGAGAACCCCGAGCGGGCTGCGCTCTATTTCGTGTCCGGAGTGTGCATTGGACTCGTGCTGACCCTGCTGGCCCTGGTGCTGCGGGTGTCCTGCCGGACGGACTGCAAGCGCTCCTCCTCCAAAAAACCCSCTCGGGAGCGGGAGAGCGACAGCGACAGCAGCGACAGCGACGACGACTCGGACACCACGTCGGACCTGTCTGCCCGCAGGCACCGCCGCTTCGAGAGGACTTTGAACATGAACGTGTTCACCTCGGCCGAGGAGCTGGAGCGGGCGCAGCGGCTGGAGGAGCGGGAGCGCATCATCCGCGAGATCTGGATGAACGGGCAGCCCGACATCCCGGGCACCAGGAGCCTCAACCGCTACTACTGAGAGCGGTGGGGACACCCCCAGTCCTGCCCTGCTCCCTGGGGCCRCCCCACACCTCAGAGAGGACACGGAGGGAAGGCATTTTGCTCGGGTGTCTCCCCTTTTCCTATCAGCTGTGCCACCTGGAGTGGGCGGATGGACGGCAGTGAAGTTTCCCCATCTCTCTCTCCSTGCCATGTTGGTATCACCCCTCTTCACAGACACTTCCTCGTTCCAAAGAAGTGATTGCCAACTTCATTTGTGAGCGGCCGGCAGGGAGGAGAGGATCACAGTCCCCCCGTGTGGGATGTGGCGTTTGGAACGCTGCGGTGTGAGTGCTCCTCTCTTGGCTGGGGAGACGAGTTGTCCAGGATTTGGTCTTCGTTTAGGATTTTTTGGTTTCCTTTTCCTGAGGAATGTGCGAGAATTGTGAACAAAATGACAAGTCTGGAAAGATGATTTGGGAAGGGAGGGGGAGGCGCATCCTGACCGATTGTCTTGTGACTTCAGAAGCCATGAGATTAACCCAATTAAAACCCAACAGCAAATAGGACTTGTTAAGAACTGGGGGATGGGGGGGAGGGGGATTCTTCCATCGTGAAATCATCTCGGTGCTTGGATGTTTGCCATGGTGTATTCAGTTATTTATGGCTGTCTTTTCATCTTCCTTTTCAATGGGAACATTTAGTTTTTTTTACTGACACCTCAGGGATAAAATCCTTTTTTTTTTTTTTTTTTTGAGTCTGTTCTCCCTGCTGGCCCCTGTCAAACACAACCCAACCCATCTCCAACAGTGAAATTATGGTAATATAAGAGACGTGTCAGTGACTGGTGAGAAGTTAACAACCTCAAAGAGGTTGAAAAAGGTTTCCTTTTTGTTTTGTTTTAAATATATATATATATTTGAAGATGCTGCACAGGAATGTGCCTTATTCTTTTTTTTTTTTTGTTGTTGTTGTTGTTAAACTGCAGTTTTCCTATGGATAGCAATGCACAATGTTTTATATATTTTATTAAAAAAATAAAATGAAAAAAAGTCTGTGTTTACCAGGGGAAAATCAGCACAGAAGAAGCCACGTCTGACAACAGAATGGGTAATAATGCTAAATAAACTCTGGTTTGCTTCAATACAATTGAATTTGCATCCTCACTTTTGGCATAGGTGTTGCTTGAGGGAGATTTTTGGAAGAGTGGCACACCTCTGCAAGCGATCATGGCTGATGTTTTTTGCATGCAGGGAACTGGCAGCACTGGTTTTTTTTGGCTGCAGTCCATCAATCAACTGCTGTGGTGTACATGGGCAGGAGACCTGAGCAGCGGGTTGGTTCTCAAGGGGCCACCCCTAAGTGATTTCATGATGCTTTGAGTCTGTCCCTCACACTCAAATCATACCTGGGTTAGAAGAAAATGTGAAATGAACTAAAAAGAAATACATRTATCTATATATGGAAGAAAAGGTGYAATGTTTTAGTGCTTCTCCTTCAGTTTTCAATGGGATATCACCCCCTCTTCACTCCCCAAGTACCAGTTCACATTACCTCAGTCACAGAACTCAGTGTTTCTCACATCTGCAYGACACTGCTGTAGCCTGCATGGCTTTGGGCTCTGCTCCTCTGTCATTAAGGCATAGAAATRTTATTTCCAGAATMTTAAGGGTTTGCAAAACATTGACAATGGAAATAAAGACCRAAGRCTCTGACTACCCAGAGCTTTTCCTRAGCCTTMAGGAGAGATGGAGATGGATGGACCTGCCCACAGGGTGACTGAGGATGCTGTAGGGGATCATGTGCTGTGCCAAACAGCTGCATGGCAGGACAGACCYCTGGCACTTTTTGGGATCACTGGGGCTTTTCCCTGGATGAGGAAAGCTGTGTTGGAAGTGCCCACAAATTCCTCTTGTGGCTCATGCAGGGTTTGAGTGACTGCAGCTGGTGGCACTGGYGATGGCAGAGGTCAGCCTGGCTGGGGAGAGGTGGCTTCACCTGGCACGGCAGTTTGAGCACTGGGGAGTGATTCTGGGTCTGGTCCCATGAAGATTCAGATGGAAATGCTCACTACTGAACTGGGATGTAATTTTTGTGTCTAATACTTAGAAATAAAGCAGGAGGCAGGTCCCCAAGCCCTGATGCATYGCCAGGTGCTTCAGCTGGAATGTTGAATATGCTCTGCTCAGGGTGTTGAGGAGCAAAATGACAGGGTGAGGTCAGCAGGGTCAGTTCTGTTGGCCATGTGTTTTCCCCTACAATGATACAGCCCCTCAGCCTTGGTGATTAGAGGACAGCATATTTTCAGATTTAGAGGGCTGTGTCCTGGGAGATAGCTTGCAAAACTGATTTTAAAAATGTTGTAAATGAATGGATTTATTGTATGGTTTTCCCAAATGACTTTTTTTCTGACCAGAGGAAAGAACAACTGTGGTATATCTGAGTATACCTGATATGCAACTGTGGGATTAAAATACCTGCTTCAAATGTAAATCACAACTGAACTTGAATTACAGATGGATGAACAGTCCTCCCTTAGCATTGCCAGTGCTGCTGTAAATCTTYCAGATGAAGTTTGAAATAAAAAGGAGCAGAGTTGAGCAGACAAGCCCATCCCAGCCTTGCCCTAAATAAAAAGATGTAACACAAGTAGTCTCACTGTCTTCMCAACATGAGCAATACCTTCACGTACCTTCTAGCTCCTATTTTTCTCTCAGGCATGTGCATTTCTRAGAGGACTTTGACTAAAGAAAAAGAAAAACTGCAATCCTTTTTTTGTAAGCTATGGAAAAGACTTGAAGTCACTCAGTAACTATCAATTTGTCTCAAAAGTGCTCCATAGTTTGAGAGACAAAACAGTCAGAATTCGTGGGGCAGGAGTTGGTGGTTTGCCTTTAGCTCTAACTGTGGAGCGAAACCAGTCCCCTGGAGTATGGAAGAGCTGGATTCACTGGGGGTGGGTCAAATCTGTACTTCTTACCCCAAAACAGAATATTTTAAGCGTATGGAGGCTGAGACTTGTCTGTTTCCACATTTTGTGTGGTGCTCAATGTGAAATATTAAAACACCCATAGAKCCAGGGAGCAGAGAGCAGCTGCTCTGCCAGCCTGCTGTGAATCCCTYTTGTAGGAGATTGTGCATAGCTCCACTCTCTTACTTCCATGCTTAATTTTTTACATTAAATTGAAATATTATTTCCAGAATAACACTCTTCAAATTCCCCAGGACAGATAAGGGAGTTGAAATCAAATTTTCCTGTTTCCCGAATGAATTTCTTAATCACAGACCTTTTGGGTAAAGAGATGCTYGAGTTCATTTTCCATGTGAATCTGTTCTTTATGCCTCAGTTTAACTTTAGAGTTTGATAACAAAATAACAGAGCAATCCTGGGCTTGGAGCTGATCACAGGGGAAGGACATGAGATGGCATTTAGAGGAGCAGCAGTGCAGTTGGMACGTGCCATCTGCTGAGCCCAAGGCTTGGGGCAGGTGAGCCTCGAGAGTGCAGTGCCTGTCCTGGGCACTCCCACACCTCCTGATACTTGGGATATATATATACTGCAGGATACTTGGATTTGTAACCACAGAGTTGTGCAGTTGTACCACGTGAGCTTTGTAAATGGATGTGATGGGCTGGAAAATGAAGGGCTGCTCTCCTGGGAGAAGATGAGTACGTGGAAGCGGTGGGTCAGGTTTTCAAAGCACTGTTCATTATTGTCCTGTGTGGTGGGACAGATGGGGCTGGCTGCAGAAGCCATGGCTGTGTGCAGAGAGGTGGCAGAGGGGGGGTCTGCTCCAGTCAGACACCCACCCTGCTCTCCCACTCTCTCCCCACCACCCCGATGTCTCAGTTGTCCCCTCCTGCCACCATCTGACCATCGGCACTGACCTCCTCTGTGGACCTGTGTTCAGTGTACCCTGAAAATCTCCATAATATGGTGCTTGCTGCCTTTCCCATGTCCACCCTGGTGTTCATATCCTCGATGAATTCCAGCTGGTTAATGAGGCTTGCCTTTCCCTTCCAGAAATCACGGTGCCACTACTTAACCCCTTGCCTGCCATCGTTCCCAGCGCCCCAGGGGCTGCACAAATAAAGTGAGYTCCCTGAGCCATGGTACTGCCAGGATGTACAGCATATGCCTGTGGTGCTGCAGGGAATCTGAATTTCCTTTTGTGCTGCTTGGAGWGTCTCAAGTTTCTGGAGGTGTCACAAGCAATTAATCATCTTAGGCTGGCCCAGAAATCCTTCTGCTCAGAATCACTGTGGAGGTTTCATCTTAGTGAAGTTTTAATTATCTGACCTGAGTTTCTAGTGTCCTTAGATACCCCAAAAAAGTAATTCCCAGCATTGCTTGCCTTTGCTTGTCCACTCATTGGGAGTGGTGCTGGCTGCCCCTYCACATAATTTCCTCTGTTTTTGTGGTTGTCTCACAACTTGGTTAAACACAACTATTCAAAAAGGTAGAAATGGTTTTGGTTCCTCACATGGAACCATAATTCCTTACAATTATGTTACACTATGTGTGCCTTCCTACACCCCTGGGCTGAAGGTGCACTCTGACTGATGTGGTGGTTTAGTGGTATTTAAGCAAATATTTTAGCAAATCAGTTCCTTTAGGGGTCTTCAATTGCTGGGCACTGAATGGATCTGTGACAGTGACAGTGACAGTGATGTGGTGTCACCGTTTGAATTATTGCAGCAGGGAGCCCTGGGGCACAGTGTGGTGTCACTGGGAATGTCGTGTGGGCTGAGCCACGGCCATGGGAGCTGCTTGGAGGGCGGTGAGCCATGGATGCTCTGGGAAGTGGCTTCTGGTGGCACCCTGGCTCATGCCAGGACAGCCAGTCCGGAGTCATTTGCCCACCTACCTGTGTCTGTGTCAGGGGTAGCTTCACATTGTGCTTACAAACTCATGGCTGCTTCCCAAAGCACTCAGGGCTGTCAGAATCACCCAGAAAACATTTAAAAATCATAGAATCATAGAATATCCTGAGTTTTAAGGGACCCAAGGATCATCAAAGTCACACTCTTGGCTCTGCACAGGACACCCCAAGAATCCCACCATGTGCCTGAGAGCTTTGTCCAAACACTTCTTGAACTCTGTCAGGCTTGGAGCTGTGACCACTGCCCTGGGGAGCTGTTCCAGTGCCCGACCACCCTCTGGATGAAGAACCTTTTCCTGATATCCAAACTAAACCTGCCCTGACTCAACTTCAGGCCATTCCCTCATGTCCTGTCACCGTCACCACAGAGCAGAGATCAGTGCCTGCCCCTCCTCTTCCCCACGTGAGGAAGTTGTAACTGCAATGAGGTCTCCTCTCTCCTCCAGGCTGAACAGKCCAAGTGAGCTCTKCTGCTCYTARCRGGCTGAKAATCTTCAGCAATATGGATGCATTTTTAATTCCAGAAAATCCCCACCTGTTTGAAAGTTTTGTTACACCTGCTTTGTCTTTTCACCTTCCACTCTAATGAAAAAATGAGTTGGTAAAACGAAAGCCTCAGCATCCTTCCCAAGATCTACGCAGATCCAAGTGTGTTTTGTTTTATTTTATTTCATTTCATTCTAAAATAAAAGAGTCTAAATAAATTGCTTGGAAAAATATTCCTGTGGGATTTTTTTTTAAATTTAAAGACATTGATTTTAAAAGAGAGTTCTCTGAAGAAATGCTATTGTGCTAAATCCATGATTCTTTGGAAGCAATATGTCTTTTGACATATCCCAATCCCTCCTTTGTTATTCCTTTGCTGAGTAACAGAGTACACCTCCCATTTCACCCTTAAATTGCCCAACTATGGCCAGGGCTGTAATTTGTGGCAGACCACGTTCCTGTGGCTGATTTTTCCTCCTTTATTTGTCCTAAGTTTCTGGGGACCTATGCTTCCTATTTTCCACCAGCTGCTGAGGAAACATGGATTTATGACACTGGAATGGACCTTGGCTCTTGGTAGCKCCTCTGCCATTTTTCTGTTGAACAGCATGTGGATTGAGGAGAGGGGTAGTGGTGGAAAGGAAAAAAAAATATTCAGAACCTGGATTTGGATTGTTTCTTCTGTCAAAGGACATCATTCTGAGCAAAGATGGGTGGCTGCGAAGGAGAGGAAATCCTCATGTTGAGCCTTGGCTTGAGCAGGGCAAATGCAATCGTGGGGGGAACCAATTTCTGCCAAGGCTTTGTGTCCTTTCCACATGCAAACATTG